CTATGCACCGACCACCATCACTGACAACATGATCTGTGCAGGATTACTGCAGGGAGGAAAGGACTCCTGTCAGGTGATTATTTTTGCTTGTTAGAATCTGGTTTCATCCAGCAGATCATCTCATCTCCTCCAACACGTTTCTCTTTTTAAAGGGAGACTCAGGAGGTCCGATGGTGAGCAAACAAGCTGGCCGCTGGATTCAGTCAGGAATTGTGAGTTTTGGCATTGGCTGTGCTAACCCAAATTACCCAGGAGTCTATGCCAGAGTCTCCCAGTATGAGAGCTGGATCAAAACCCAGATCACCACCAACCAGCCGGGCTTCATCACCTACACATCTACCGGAACCAACAGCGACCTGAGCGTCTCCTGCTCTGGCGTGCCACCAATTTTGTCCCCAACCACCACCACTACTACTACTCCTACTACCACCACTACAACAAGCACTACAAAGCCAACAACAAAACCACTGACCACTACAGCCTCAGCAGCAATAAAACTCACAACAACCAACATCATCAAACCAACAACAAAAGCTACAAGTACCTTAGCACCGTCTCCTACAACGACCACAACAACCACATCCATGCCCAGGCGTAAGTACTGATCACGCGTAGACTGGAAAGGTTTGTGTTCGACCTTAGACTTGGAGAAACTGAGTATGAACCCATTTGATGAACCCAGAGTTTTATTGACTGTTTGACTGCTGCCTCTCCAGCTGTAGCCTGTGGCGAAGCCCCATTAAACTCCGGTTCTCCGGATGGAAGCTTGTCATCAGAAGGCGAGTGGCCGTGGATGGCGAGTTTGCAGAAAGGAGGAAAGCATGTCTGTGGAGGGACGCTGGTGTCTGAGGACAAGGTTCTGACCAATGCCGACTGCATTCCAGAGTGAGCTCCAGTAGAGGGCGCTGTTCAGCCTGACCTCACTAGTTGTACCATTTTGGGTCAATTGTGTTTTATTCTTCACTGTTTAAAAATGTGCTTGAAAGCCTCAAATGTCAGCCTCTGTTGTAATGCCAATCCATTTTTTCTATGAAAAATTAGAGAAGTGCTTCTTTACCGGCTGTATTTCAGCGGTTCTTCATCTTGACTCCATTCTCTCCATCAGAGACTCTGTTGCGTCTGAATACACCGTGGTGTTGGGTCGTCTGAAGCAGAACGGATCAAACCCTTCTGAGCAGTCTGTTGCTGTGGGAAGCATCACTCGGAGCAACCTAACAGGTTCCAACATTGCATTGCTTCAGCTGTCAGCCAAACCCAAACTGACCGACTACGTCTGGCCCATCTGCCTGGACAACGGAAGAGCCTTCCCACAGGGATCCACCTGCTGGGCTGCTGGCTGGAGCTCTGTGAATGGAGGAGGTGAATCAAACACACAGCAATGTTAACATCAACAATCAGACATAAACATATGGTTATTAAACTAAAGTTTCCTTTCCATCATGTAGCTGATAAAGTTCTTCTGAAGTTCCAGACCGAGGTTTTAAGTTGTGGGATTGATTCAGGAAATGACACCCTGTGTACCGGAGTGTTTACACAGGAACAGGTGAAAAACTTCACATTACTGTTACACATGCAGATAAAACCTTTGAGCTCTGTTTGTTCACAAATATAACTGCAATTATAACTGATTGTTTTTAGTTTGGCCAGTTAAACTCCCCCTCGTCTCCCAGATTAAATCCAACACAGAAGCTGTTAGAGCTGCTGATGGGGCCCCTCAGTCAGATTCTGCCCCAGGCCTCATCCAGCCTTGGACCAGCCCTGCAGGATGAGCTAAATCTGCCGCACTGAGCAGAGATGAGCAACAAACAGGAGATTTAATTCAATGCTGTTAGTGTGGCTTTAGCAGCTCTAACATTTCTGTCTGTTGAGTTTTAATAAGAGTCTCAGAAACTGTTTTGGTTGCTGGAGTTTATGGGACGAGTTTCTCAGATCTCCTCGCTCATTAACTCTAAGTGGACAAAGCATCTGATACGGTTTGATTCATCATGTAACCGGAAAAAATAAAATAATATAAAACCAGCGTAAAAAGTGACTACGAGGCTAAAGCTCCTCACCTGGCTGAACCTGCATGATGAGGTTAGCGCTGGTTCGTTAGCCGCTAAGGCTCCGACCAACCAGGAACACGGACATGAACTTTACAGGGCAGACAGCGCCACACGCTGGGCAGCGTGTTGAGATGGAAACGCTGCATAATGTTTTGTTCATAAAGATAAATCATTCTCACCGCTTCTCTGAAATCATCTACAAGTTATTCCTGTGGTTCACATAGAGCTGCTCAACCAGAGCTAACACGGCGGGTCTAGACTCTTACCTTGATGTGGAGTTCTCTAAAGAATCGTAATTCCTCACAGGGGGTTGATGTAAATATCCATACAGGTCAGCCTGAGTCCAGTTTGACTGAATAAAGGAGCGCGATCCCTGCTGAGGTAAACTTGAGATCAAGCAGCGCCGAGGTGCCGGCTGTGATTGGTCCGCTCTGCCGGCTGTAAATAATAAACTATAAACTACTTTTAGAAATACATTTTCTCCACTAGTGAATCACTCAGCAACAGAGACGCTTTCAATCCGGATTTAAAAAAAAACAAAACTTTTCTTTTTTTGGTTTATTTTTCCAAAAACAAAAGTAAGCAACACTTGGCTTGGCCTGGTAGCTAGTAAAGCATGGTGGGCTGCCAGACTTATAATACCCTGGGGGAAATGTAATGGAGTGGTTTGAATCACCAACAGATCTAACCCTGTGTCATCTCAGGCCAAACTAATAATATAGTTATTACCTACCAACCATTATTCCTCAATAAGATCCATCTAAAGTGAAACTTTAAGGTTCTTATAAGGAACCAGGGAACGATTTACAGGACACCAAAGTTTAATCAGTTTGTGGCAAAAGAAGCAGCAGCAGTCAGGAAGGTCTTACTGGTTTTCAGAAAGTAAATGTGTTTAATGACCTCTGACCTCTGGTGTTTTCATTCAGGGCTATTCTGGCGACCCGCTCATGTGTCAGCAGGAAGGATCTTGGTTCCAGGTGGTCGTGCTCTCGTCTGCTGAAATCGCTACCAGATATAAGCGCCAGGCTCATTTTATGTCCTTTGAGAAACTGGACCGCTTCCAGGACTTCCTGATTCGCTCTCTGGGGTCATTTCTGACTCCAGTCGTCAGAAACAACACCGCCAGCACCAACAGCACCGCCAACAGCACTGCCGCCGCTGCAACCGTCCCCATGACGACGAGCAGAGCGACCCAGAACCCCTTTGCCTCTGTGCTCTGCCTGCACCTGTTCCTCCTGGCGGCGTGCCTCCACCTCCTCCCATAGACGTCCAGCTCCGCCTTTACATGATGTGACGCACAAATGAATGTAAGCTGTGGGTGCAACCAGTCAGGTTCTGGTTCTGGAGGAGCTCCATCAGCCTTTCCATCCTGAGGAAGACTTTGTTTATCCTGAGTCATGTTTGGTTAGTTTGATGCAACAGCGTGGATCCAGAACCTGCTGACAGACGTCAGCCGGACTGAACTACCTCACCGCGCTGCGGCGGACGTTTCCACCTGAAGCTGCGACGTGCCTAATGTTTACATGAATGTTTGCACTGAAATGATTGTAAGAAGCGAGCTTCATCTGATCAAATCAACGGCTGTTCCCGTTTTCTCATGCTTTGATTGCACTTTACTGTAAAACTGTATTCAGAATAAATCTGTTTTTCTCTAACCTGTGAAGACGTGTTGCTTGCTGTTCCTGTGGTTGGTTTCACCTGCTGAGGTTAAGGCAGCGCGACCTGAACAGACCACCTAACCATGACTCGCTCCAAGCTGCACGGCTTCTTCTAGTGCGGAAACATCAGATTGAGAGAGCAAAACGTTTCCCACTTGAGCTGCAGCTCCTCCAGAACCACCAGGCTGCTTCTCTTATCAATGCTCCCCTCCTCCAACCTGTCAGAGGTCAGCAACCTTCTCGTTCCTGCCCCTCTGCCGCATTAAAAGTTTTATAAACAAAGGAATTAAACAAAATGTTATGTTCAGATTTCAGAATAAATTAAGTTTTACCCTAAACGCTTAAATTTGTTCAAGATTTGCAGCCCACCCAAAAAATGGAGCACACAGTTTGATGCGTTAACATTAAATTATATTCAAAAACAAAGTATTGATGTATAAAAACAGAACTGGTCAAACCAGCCCTTCTTTTTGCTTTTAGAATAAAAAACTTTTTAATGAGTTTCATAAGGGCCACAGTGAAGAGGCCAAAGGGCCATGTGTGGCCCAGGAGCCACAGGTTGGAGACTGCTGGTCCAGGTGGGAGCAGCTAAAGCTCCTTTGCTTCTTTCTTACCGACCCGTCACAAACAATCAGTAGCCGAATGGGCAACATAACAGACTGAGGCGACCCGGCAAAGTCAGGGGTGTGACGACTTTAGCGGAGGAGGGTCCAAACCGGCCGGGTTCCTGGTGCGGTTCCTGCTGTCGCCGCGTGCTTCATCCCGTTTCAGGCACCGCATAGACCCAGAGAGTGGAGTGACAGCACCATCTGGTGGTCAGACTGGGTGCTGCATCCAAACACACCGGCTCAGAAAACGAGTTGGAACCACAGATGGGTCAGTGAAAACGGGTCAAGTCGGTTTGTTCAGCAGAACCGGGTCGGCTCCATGTCATTCCTCTAAGCGGGCAAGAACCGGTCCTCGGTTCTACTTGATCCGGATCTCGAAGCAGAGGCAGTTACAGGAGTCGCACTCTGGAGGCTGGCAGGTGCAGGCGCAGTCCATGCTGAAGCACTGAGGTCAAAGGTCAGAGGTCAGACTGACCACAAAGCACACTGGAGGGCCAGCTGTGGCCTCCGCATCCATCCATCCATCAATCATCCATCATTCATCCATCAATCATCCATCCATCATCCATTAATCATCCATCATTCATCCATCAATCATCCATCCATCA